AAGAGCAAAACCCTTTAGTTACTGCCACCATATGACAGAAAAAAGGTACATATACAGACAGTTCTTAACATCCAAACGTTGCCACCTAACTTCCTCTTGAGGTTGGATTGGGGTACAAAGATGGAACACTTCTTGAGAGAGATGAAACGGAGAGACCATCTTAGGAAGAAACTCAGGTTTTGGCCTGTAGGCATGAAGACATGGTAGAAAAGGCTTTAATCTCCGAAATTCTTCTTGTGGATGTAATGGCAACCACAAACAAAGTCTTGTAAGTCAGAAGTATCCAAATTTTCAAGGGGAACGAACAGATCATCAGTCAGGTAGTTGAAAACAAGAGGAAGGTCCCAAGGAGGGATACCGGATCTGGAAGGAGGTCTCAACCTGAAAGTTGCCTTGAAGAATCTGGAGATCAAAGGCTCCGAAGCCCATGAGATGTTGCATAATGCTGAAAGAGCCGAGGACTAAACTCTAAGAGTGCCGAGGCTAAGGCCTTTGTACAGACATTCTTGGAGGAAATCCAAGATCTGAATATTGCGAGGATGCAAGAAGTCAATGTTCTTGGCTGAAGCCCATGCTCTAAATATATCCCAGATCCTATAGTAGCACGAAGAAGTAGAAGCCTTCCTAGACTGCAAAAGGGTATTGACCACCGCTTCCGAAAGACCTGTGAGAACACAAGCGTTTTCTAAACTTTGTTCGGACAATATTTCAGTTATTTCTCCAATTTTGTTTATTTGTTCCGTAGTTTTCAAACTAGCGAACCACCGACCACCCCTCTGGCTCATTTTATGTGTGGAAGAGAAAACAGCGGCCATCTTCTTTGCACGAAAGGAGGCAGCAGGACTTGGTCGTCGAGTGTCTGGAACTAAAATTGGACACTCGACTTCCCGAAACACCGGTCAAACTAACAAAAGCCTGCTTCCTTTTCCTGAACAGCTAGGAGAGCGCTTTTAGGTAGTTTGGTTCTCACAAACCAGGGGAACAATCGCTACTATGAGCCTGAGGGATATGTTTGTGCATTTTTTCAGTTTTGTGACTTGATGAAATAGCCCGACTGCACAGCTTAAACACATGGAACTGCAGGAGCCTCGTGTGTGTGGTCGGTCAAATGGGACTTCCATGAAATTCAAAAACCCCTGAACCGATCTGGGTGATTCTTGGATATGTTGATTACCCAGATCGGGGCTATCGGGGGATGTGATATTTATGGGGGTTGTGTATGTTTTGGGGCGTTTTCCAAGTTTTGTTCCCTCTGCCCGGAGATAATCAAGTTATTTCTATATCTGACCCAATTATATCCAGGCAGAGAGGAGGGAATTAACTGTTTGTACTGGGAGTGTCACTGTTTGTCCCTGTATTGTCATTGGCTGTAATAAGTTATGTCCCTGTTTTCCATCAGGTCCAGGGGGTGTTCCTCTGGCAGGGAGAACTGCATAAAAGCCAGTGTGGCACAATAAAGATTCGTTCCTGTTACACCCTTCATCATGTTTCGGCTGATGTTTGGGTACCTGATTACTACTTTGGGAGATTCTGCTGAGAAAGCTGTACTTACTCTGGAGTAAGAGACGAATGGAAACCCTTAGCCGATCGGATAAAAGATAAAAACAGACTAACCCCTAGCTACCACTTCAGGGTTCGTTACAACTGGTGGCAAGTGGAGGGATTCGTATCCCGAATGGACGTCCCGAACCAGAGGAAAAGTGAATGGCTCAGCAGTATGAGTTACTGAAACGAACGACATTAAAAGACCTGCTGGAAGCTCCAGGCATTGCAGCAACAAAAAGAAAGCCACGCTAATTGCAGAGCGACAGAACCGGCAAAATGGAAGGAGAGCATCCAGAGGAAAACGAATTCCAGAAGGAGGCGAGATGGATAAATCTATTAGGGCCCAATCCAACAAAAGAGGCAGTGGTACACACACATGCCAAAGATTCACAGATTGCTCGGGAATCAAGAGCAGGGTTGCTGCAAGGGCATTCCTTGACCTCCCCAGGATATACAAATGGGTGCCCACGGAAGATAAATGATGCAGCCTTCAAAGCTTTTGTTGATGGGGAAACAGACATTGACAATTACCTGCACGATTTTGAATGGCAGTGTACTTTGGAAGGACTAGAAATAGACAACTGGGCTGCGGTTCTCAGCAGCAAGCTCTCAGGGTGGGCAGCGGAAGCTTACTGGGCCGTACCTGATGAGGACATTCAAAACTATGGAAAGATTAAGGATATTTTTAGTGGACAGATTTGCGGTCACACCAGAGGCATACCGGAGGAAATTTCGTGCTCTCAGGAAAGGAGGAATGGGCATTCCGTATATGCTGGTCTGTCCAAAACTAAATGTAGGGCTGCTAGGCCACTTCATTGGAGGATGCAATACAAATCTTATCATAAGAACAGTTCTACGACCATACGGAAGTCCAGGACTGGGTAAGAGACCGAAAACCCAAGACCGTGGAGGAGGCCGCCAAACTGGCAGATGAGTTGGCAGACATCTGGAACCCAGCAGGGGACGACCTATTCCCAGACCCTCCTACAAGGTATCACCTGCCCCGCCACCTACTCGACCCGCTCCATACACCCTGGCACCAACCCCCCAAAACTGTGGCCTTAGTTCCTGCTTCCTCTGCAAACAGCCAGGGCATAGGAAGCAACACTGGCCCAACAGGAACCGGGGAGGTTGGGATTGGGCAGCCCCACAGCCAGGGAGTCTACCCATCATTGAGGAGCCCTTTCACAGGGTGGCCATATTTAATAGGACCTCTTAATAAACCCAGCGCCTTCGGAAAGCATTACATGCTCACAGTGGTAGACTATGCTACTAGATATGTGGTATAAAGTGATCTGTGCTTGTCTAGGGCGCTTAAAGTGTGATTTAAAAGTGCAATAATTTTAGCAGCTACAACACTTATATGTGGGGCTCTCAAGTCCACCAAATGTACAAAGTGCAAAATAGGAGAATTAGAAAGAGGGTGGTAAAACCAATCCCCTTAAAAAGACTCCTTAAAGTGGTGCGCTAGAGAGTACCTACCCCTACAACGCAGGGGTATTAAGTGTCCCATCCCCACACAAACTGACTCTTTGAACGTTTTAACAGCACCCTCAAACAGATGCTTAGAACATTCACAGCGTCCTGTTCGCACTGGGAAAGGTTCCTTCCTCAACTCCTATTTGCCTTCACGACAAGTGCCTACGGCCTGTACAGAGTTCTCCCTCTTCGAACTCCTTTATGGGAGAAAAGTCCGGGGACCCCTAGACCTCATACGAGAGCACTGGGAGGGCAACACAGGAGAGGACGGAGTCCCTATTGTCCAGTATGTTCTGGAGTTTAGGGACAGCTTGCAGACCCTCACAGAAGCTGTCCGGGAGACCCTGCAAGCGGCCCAGAGACGCCAGAAGAGATGGTACGATAGGTGTGACCGAGATAAGATCCTGGAAATAGGACAGAGAGTACTGGCTCTGAAGCCCTCTAAGAAAGACAAGCGTCACGCCGCATGCCAGGGACCGTTCAAGGTGGTGGAGAGAATTTAATGACACCACGTATATATTCAGCAATACTGAAGTCCCGAACAGTTCGTCACTATCCTCACATGCAGGGGCACATACAGCCGCTATGTCCCCTGTCCGTTCAAAATAGGGCTTCAGCGTGTTCACATGAAAGGCTCTCCAGAGCCTTTCATCTGAATAATTGCTGAATAGTGATGTCCCGAACGGTTCGCCACAGATGGCGAGCATATGCGCTGTTCGGTCTGTCTCCTATGTCATCATTGAATAAACTTTGACCCTGTACCTCACAGTCAGCAGACACATTCCAGCCAATCAGCAGCAGACCCTCCCACCTCCTGAACAGCATCCATTTTACATTCATTGTGAAGCTGCATTCTTAATGAGCTGTCCAGGAGGTGGGAGGGTCTGCTGCTGATTGGCTGGAATGTGTCTGCTGACTGTGAGGTACAGGGTCAAAGTTTACTCAATGATGACGAATAGGGGGGCGGACTGAACAGCGCATATGTTCGCCGTCTGCGGCGAACCGTTCGGGACATCACTATTCAGCAATTGTTCAGATGAAAGGATCCAGAGAGCCTTTCATGTGAACACACTGAAGCCCTATTTTGAGCGGACAGGGGACATAGCGGCAGTATGTGCCCCTGCATGCGAGGATAGTGAGGGCCTTCCTTTACCGGACTTACCTCCAGCCGCAGCACCATAGAACAAGCTAGGCAAAACATTAAACTCCCAGGAGAAGAGTGAGGTCTCTCAGCTGCTCCAGGGACATGTTTTCTGCCCTACCCGGGTACACCTCTGCTGCGGTCCACTGAGTGTAGACCCAGGGAGACACCCCGCTACGGCAACAACCATATCGTATCCCTGCGGCAGTTAGAGACAATATGCTAGCAGAGCTACAGGAGATGCTCCAGTTAGGGGTTATAGAACCCTCTCAGAGTCCTTGGGCTTCACCAGTAGTGCTGGTACCCAAGCAAGATGGCACGACTCGCTTCTGTATCAACTACCGGAAGCTCAATGACTGGACCATAACGGACGCCCACCCCCTGCCTAGGATAGCTGGAGGGAATTACCTCACTACCCTGGATTTGTGCAAAGGATACTGGCAAATCCCCCTGGAGCCTGCGACCATCCCAAAGTCAGCATTCGTCACCCCATTTGAGCTATACCAGTTTAAGGTTATGCCCTTTGGGATGAAGAATGCCCCGGCTACTTTTCAGAGGATGGCTAACCGGCTCCCAGAGGGATTTCAGGACTTTAGCAAGACACCTGTGTTGGCCACCCCAGACTATAACAAACTATTTCTTGTGCACACAGATGCCTCCATGTTTGGGCTGGGAGCCGTGCAAAGTCAAGTAGGGGACGACGGAATGGAGCCTTACAACTTTACAACTTCAGCATGCAGTACAGGCCAGACAAACAGAATGGAAATGCAGATGGTTTATCCTGCCAAACCGAACTGGAACTTTAAAAATTACTCTAGTTGCTCACAGGTCCCTTGTGGCTATATGGCTCTAGGCTGGGATTTCTTACATACACAAAGTTGCTGATAATTTCGTAACACTTGAAAGCTGTGACTTGAATATATCCTGGCTTATTCGACTTTGGATGAACACACACACTATGAGTCAAGTCTGCATTGCACTTTTCCTTGAAAGAAATAGTACCACATTGCTTATATTTGATTTGACTCTTAAAAGAATTCTAAAGTTGTAATTTGGGTTATTCAGTAAACTAGGAAGTACAAATCTAATGGCCAAAATTTTCAAACACTGAAAAATGCGCACATTCTTAGCAGATACTCAAGTCATACACAGTGTCAGAAGTTCTAATTGGTATAATAATGCCTGTTAATCTGTGAATGGAAGTAACAAGCAGGATTGCTGATGGACAAGAATATTAATGATGCTGTCCTTAAGCATCTTCTGAAGCAAGAATATTTACTCTCTACGAGTCTCAATAGCCACTGAAGTTCTCACTGCCCAGGTGTTGGCATAGGAATAACTGGTGAGGTGTATTTTTTTTTTGTTGGCTATATGGAAGGTTATATTCTGCTAACCCTACATATATCATCTCCATTACATTTTTTCACGTTTATTTTTATTTTTTTCAATTCTTTATTTTTGTGTGACCACATCAACATTAAGCCATTGACAATAGTTTCAGGATATAAAACATTATCTGACAAAGGCATCTGTGGTACATAATATACATACAACCTCGTTTCCAAGCCAATAGGCTCATATTAAGCACCATAGTGTTATTTTTAAGTTGTGTAAAATGCACATTGAAACAATATTTAACGTAGCAATTATAACACTAATGTCGACTTGTTCTCACTGTTCGCACTGTTGTTCTCGTCTGTGGGCCATTGATGCTGTGTGAGTAGTCGGTGCTTACGTTCCCATTATAACTGTAACTTCTATACCTCAGAAGAGTAGAAAAAAAATTAAAGCAATGAAAGGAGAATAGAAGATAGTAAAGAAAAGAGCAAGAGGTCTCGTGGACAGCTGTAGTAGCCTGGGTTGTCCTGCGACCATCTATGGGCCCACCCGACCATCTCAGTGGGTGCAGGTGAAGGGGCAGGGCAAGCCTGCGAGCAGTAGGTGTTCCTCCAGTATGCTGGCTATCTTGTTCACAACCCACCACCATACCTCAATTTCCCCAGTCAGGGTCTTTGTCACCTTCAGTCCCCTACAGGAGTTATTCAGCTAATAAGCATTCCTCCCAAGGTCCCCAGATTTTTTCAAATCTCCCAGTTGTCCCTCTCACTGTACCTGCTAAGTAATCCATGAGACGGGTCTCATCTTGTTTGTAATTTCCCTGTTAAGACTCATGGGGTCTTCCTAAAAATAATTAACTTATTTATACCCCAGCAGTCAGATTACACTATGTAAAATAGAATCAGATGAATCTGATAGAGAAACACGCATTCAATAAGCAGATTTATATTTGAACTCATTCTTTAGGATATTTACACATCACTATACTAAGAAACCACATTAGACATGGGACATTCAAAATCAGATGGTTTTTATTCTTGTGACATTTTTCTTTATTTAATATGCTTAAATTTACACAGCAGTGTGTTAAATACCAACACAGACAAAGGGAAACGCATTTGAGTAAAAGGCTTTGTTAAATGCAACCATAGTAACTTTAATAAATATACAACAACTGTACAGCACACCTTTAGGGCCAAAAAATGTAGATATGTTGCACTTAAACCCATTTCTTATGTGTTAATATTTTCTCAGACAGAAGAGCTGAGATGGGGAGGTGGGGGTGGGGGGGAAACACCTCCTGTAGTGCCTCTTTACATCAGTGTCTTTTTTTTTTTTTTTTTTTTTAAAACAGGCAAGCCAAAGCATTGGTTAGCTGAGAGTCTTGGTGCAAATCTTGCCTTGAGCATCAAGCAAGGCTTTTTTTTTTAGGTATCATATGGGCAATTACAGAAACGCAGCAGCAGCCCAAAGATTCCCCTTTCATTAAACCTAGTCTATTTATGAGAAACTACAAACTTTTAAAATTATTCTATGTCTCTTACTAATTTGTGAAAAGAAAGTTCACTTTTGTTGAACCTGTAGCATTGCCTCTTGCTGAATTCTGTCCATACACAACTTTTCTTTTAAACAGGGAAATTGTAACTACAAAGCACATCCACCCATATGCCAAGCATCTAAAATGGTATTTATTTTCCTCTATGAAAATAATACAATATAAAGCAACCATCTCGTCGCTGGGGAAAACCAAACCACCTGTAACGGTATATGGATGGCACCCTAAGCATGTCAAAGGTGGAAAATCTCTTATGCAGGCAAACGATTGTGTATATTGTAACAAGTCTTGAAATAATTTCACCTAGACAAAGCAAAATCCATAAATGCTGAATACTTTAGTGAGCAAAAGGCTGGGCTAGAGGAATGAACTATCAACAGTTATACAAATGTTCCTTATCCCTCTAGCTTGTACTGTTCGACTATACGGTACGTATAATTGTAACGGTTAATAAGGTCATGAGAGGACAAACTCTGCAATCTTCTCCAAAATGTAGATTATATGCCAAGAATGCAGTCACCCACAAGGTTGTTTATGAATAATATTTCCTCAAATGTCATTTTTGGAACTCTGTTAAGTGTGCCATTAAAGCTTTGCCCAGGGTGGGAAGCAACTTTTATACATGACTGTTTATATATTTCACAATGAAACATTCATAACCTATTTCAATATTCACCATCTGATTAGAACATTCTATGAGTATTCTATTTGAAATGTGAAATTTAGTAGTTCATGTAGAAATCCTACCCTTTGTTTAAAACTTTTACCAATCTGCTCAGAGAACAAGACTTTGAATGGGTGATCGTGCACTCATTTGAGATTAACACACAGACTCACTGTTATGCCCACCTCTTATAAGGGACTGCATAGTCTTAAACCGACTCTTACCAACAGCAAGGCCGTGTTACTGATAGGAGAGGGACAGGTGAGCTTACAAGTTCACAAGAACAATCTCTGTACTAAGTGCAGTTCTCAATTTAAATATCAAATATCTGAAAACAATATTGTCAAATGCTATTTTTTTTTTTAAATTAATTTTTGAATTACTACTAGAGAACATAAATAAGCCAGGTCTCTGCTAAAGGCTCACAGAACTTTGCTGGGACTCCTTTATTCCGTAACTTTCTACTGCTGGTCCGGTTTGAAGGGAAAACCATATTGTTTGTAGTGTAAGAATACAATATTAATGCTAATACGGTGGTATCCCCTATGTCCAGAAAGCTCACAAAACCCATGGTTTGCAACGTAGCTATTAAAACTATGGTCCATTTTACATGGCAATATATCTAATCATTTCAAATATTCACGAAGGGTAATTTTTAAATAAAACAAACAATCCTGTGCTTTAAATTTAGCTGTTGCCAGGCATAACACACATAACATCCTTTTTCACAGTCATTACTACCACTAACAGCTACTCGGAGCCCTTTATGTACAGTGTGCACTACTACAATTCTCATCACTGTAAGGCCACGTATTCAAGTTCTTCAGTGAGTACTGTGATTAATTCACTCTCAGCTGGACCCAAAGCAGCCTTAGAGACTGAGCTGGATAGCAAAAATGTTAAAATGCAATTACAATTAGTAAATATATATAAAAAAAAAAAAAAATCAAAGTGCAACTTTTTACATTTCTTTAATCTAAATATAAAAAATAGAACCAAAATAATGAAATCAAAAAGAGGTTTGGTTTGGATTTCTGGTCATAGAATATGGGATTCTTTGCATCGAGCAGTGTTTTTTTTTTTGTTAAATACTTTTCAACGTAAACAGCACTTTCCAAAATAATTCAAATAAAAATATAACAACGTTTCTCCTATTTTTCCTTTCACAGCTCTATATCCAGTGTGTTAAAATCCTGTACTCTGGAAATAATTTATAATTAAATTATATTGAGAGGAATATTCCTATTTACAGATAACATTTTCCTATATTTCCTCAGTCAAAATATAAAATAACTGAGAAATATTTTCTTTTCATTCTCGACAAACCCTGTTGAGCGGAAAGACTTTGTAACTCTTCCTTGCATTCCAGGGGAAAAGCAACTCATCTGCACAACGGGTACTTAAATTATTATACAAACAATTCACAAACAAGGCAAATAACCCACCAAAGATTTGACAAATACAAAAGTTAAATGTGCAGGTTTGGGCAGAACAAAAGACAAAGTTCAGGTATATGTTTCTTCTCTCTCCTAGTTCTGTCTGCACAGCAAGTAATGTTCTTTGTTTGTAAGTGGTGGCGGGTCCCAAACTAACTGCATCCTAGGTCTCGTACTCTCAACTCTTACAGAAGATTCAGATCAGCCGCTGAGGGGGTCTTCCCTGTAGTGAATGGCATACCTTAATTTTTCTAGCATTATCTCAAGAGAGGAATATTGCGGAAGTTTGATCATGAACATACAAGTCTCGACTCTGATGTATCGTGAGTCTGGTGAACCTTGGGGAAAAAAAGAGACAAAACATCATATTCCAATTAATGTTCCTTATAAAATAACAGAGAGGAAATTGTAAGTGCTAAAAACAGTCAAAATGTTCAGCCTGAAAATATGGCTCCATCAGGGCTCCTAACTCGTGTGAAAAATACATATATCTACTTGTGTATTATAATCTTATGTTAATACAGTTTGGCCACTTAACCAAATTTCTAAATGACCCTCAACTAAAAAACCTTTATCATAAAAATTGTCTAAAAAAGATTTTTATTTGGTAACTTATACAATACAAGCATATCATAAACAATATGAAATGTGATAAACCATAAACATAAAGCTCAATTGTATATGACAGCTTTGCGAACACCTCAATAAGAAAACTAACCAGCACTCAAACATTTTTCCTCTTAAGGTACACTCCAGAGCCAAAAGTACTTAAGCTTGCTGAAAAGCTTTATGTGTGCAGTGTGTCCTCTTTTTTTTCCCCATTTAGCAAAAAGTGCAGGTTTCAATAGAAATTAAAATTGATAAATTATACTAGTCACATATCCCTAACTTTTCAAGCAGACAACAGGTCCTGTTACTTTCTGGTTTGGTTAGCTCAAGGCAGCAATTGCCCAGAGAGCGGGCCTAGCAAAGACTACTCATTGAGCTGCATTGGGAATTCTGTGATTGGACAGACACAAAGTCTGGGAGGGGCTTAAAGGGGAGGATTTACAAAGGGTGCGGACAAGAGAACGACAGGTT